ATTGTCGCATATGGTATTAAGTCTTCCCAATCCAACAGAGTTTTCCTCTTCCAGGAAATAGCCCTGGGAATATCATTTGACGTTTTTATTGCATATGTACGCATGCTGGGGAAAGCCTCGAATATCCAAATCTACAAACAATATAATAACAAAATTAGTAATTGTTAAATAATTAATTATAATTTTAGAAACATTATATAGAAATTCTTACCTTAAAGGCCCAAACAAAGCCTGACAAAGTGTATTTCGACCTATCGCCACGCAAACTTTTGCGGTCATCAAAGGCAGTAGACAACTTAGTCCAGGTAGCTTTCCATATATACGAACCCCACGGAAACAGATTCCATGCATTCAGGTCCTCTACCAATATTATTAGCTCCCGAGGAATAGGTTGTCTGGCCTCTCTGCCTAAAAAGCCGGCATACACAAGTAGTAGAAGGCATACTCGGACAACATCGACGTCATCCATCCGAGTGAAACCAGCTTTCTTATTAAACAATTTCTTCAGGTCGTCGACGTGTAGGTTCGGCTTCTCCATTGACTCATCCGGAAAAACCCGGGATAACCATGATGGGCGGGCGATATGACGAGTGTACCGACCTACATCATCGTGTCCGAATCGTAGACCAGTGATTAAGTAGAACTCCTTCCGCCCAAAACAAGTATACGCTGGTGGAAAATGAAACCATATCTCTTCCTCACCACGTTGTATACTGTCGGGTAGATTTGATGTCATGGTCTGAAGCCACAAATGGGTCAAATTAGCATCTCCACCCGGATGCTGTACTCTCAGCCATGGCCCGAAGCAGGTTTCCTCAAACAATTGTCTTTGAGCAGGTGAAAGCTTCGAAGCAATTGTAGTGGCTAGGCTAACTTTATTCCTTAATGTCAATGAAGCCGAAAAAAATTTCTACAAAAACAATAAACATACCAAGTTAGATATACCAAAAACTACACTGTGAAGATATACCAAAAACAATAAACATAAAAAGTAGTAGTTTATTCTTGAAACTAAAATTTGCAACACTGTTTTGTCTTTTGGTTGAAATGAAAATCGCAACGAGAGAATGACTGTCGCAACGAGAGAAATAAAAATCGCAACGAGAGAATCGCAACGCGAAATGAAAATCGCAATGCGATTTTGGTTTCGCGTTACGATTCTCTCGTTGCGATTTTCATTTCGCGTTGCGATTCTCTCGTTGCGATTTTCATTTCTCTCGTTGCGACAGTCATTCTCTCGTTGCGATTTTCATTTATCTCGTTGCGACTCTTCTGCAAATTGAAACTTGAATGGATTGCATTACTTCAACCAAAAGACAGAACAAAGACAAAGACAAATACTAACTTGAAAATCGCAACGAGAGAATAGCAACGCGAAATGAAAATCGCAACGAGAGAATCGTAACGCGAAATGAAATCTAAGTGAAATGGTTAATCTATTATTGAAATGACCAGTAAACTTATCATCAGTTTCAATATGAAAAACCTACAATAATGCAAAAATTTCAAAATAAAAATAATTAAAAAAACTAACCCTCGGAGGTTGATTTTCCATTTCTGAATATTGTGAGGGATTTCTGACCGTGAATGGTTGTGAGGGATTTCGCCGGAGATGGGGACGGAAATCTTCGGAGATGGGGACGGATTTCGCCGTAGAGAGTGAGAGATGGAGATGGGACTGAGTTGTGATTTTAGGTTTTAGGTTATGAGTTGCGATTACGGGATTTTGTCTTAATATTCGTTTTTGTAATTTGAAAATAAAATACGCGTAGCGATTATAATGGCGCTTTAAATATCGCGTTGCGATTTACGGATACGCGTTACGATTTTATGTATTATCGTTGCGATTTACGGATACGCGTTGCGATATACGGATACGCATTGCGATTTACGGATACGCGTTGCGATTTACGGATACACGTTGCGATTTACGGATACGCGTTGCGATTTATGTGTTCGCGTTGCGATTTTAATATTCGCGTTGCGATTCTGGAAAATCGCAATGCGAATTTGTACTATCGCATTGCGATTTTCAAGAATCGCGTTGCGATTTTGGAAACTGATTTGCGATTCTGGGGATCGCGTTGCGATTTTTATTTCGCGTTGCGATTTTGTTGGTCATTTTGGCAAATCCAAAAAAAGTTGGTTAAAATCGTATATTATAAGGCATTTTTGGTCACTGAGGCGATTTTCTCTTTTCTTAATCATGGTTTATTTTTTATCTCTTTATTTGTGTATATAAAATTTTAAAAAATAAAAATAATAAAAATGATATTTTAAATTATTAAATTAATAAGATTTTAAATTATTAAATTAATAAAATATTTTATGTGCATTGTTAAAAAACAGTTATAGTCCTTATTTCTGAAGTGGAAGATCCATATTTTATGAAGCAGCTTCGGCCCATTAGTATAGGCACTGTGGTGTATAAGGTTGTGTCTAAAGTCCTGATTAGACGTTTGAAACAACATATGCAACAATGTATTAGCGAAAATCAAGCTGTCTTCATCCCTGACCGCCAGATCTTTGATAATATTTTAGTAGCTCATGAGTTACTTCATTATTCCTCCAAGAATGATCCGAATAAAGGTTCATCTCATAAGCTTGATATGGAGAAAGCTTATGATAGTGTTGAATATCCTTTTTTGCAAGTAGTGATGCTTAAGCTTGGTTTTGCCCCTCCATAGGTGAACTTGATCATGAGGTTTGTGGAATCTGTGATCTTCACTGTTCGGGTTAATGGGGTTTGAACTCAGAAATTTCATCCAAGTCGGGGTCTTCATCAAGGTGACCCTTTATCTCTGTTCCTTTTTTTTTGCTCTCAGGGTCTCTCAGCTCTTTTGTTAGATGCACAACGTCGAGGTAGCCTGAAGGGTATCCGAGCGAGTCAATCTAGTCCGCATGTTACTCTTCTACTTCCTACGGATGATTGTATTTTCTTTCTTAAGAACTCGATTGCTAAAGCTAACTATATCAAGATTCAAGGATATTCTTGTTACTTTTGAGCGTCTTCAGGGTAGAAAGTTAATTTAGACAAATCGACTTTGTTTTTTAGCCTGCTTATATGTATCAATTATCGAGAGAGCATTTCCTCCATCTTGGGTGTGACTAGTAGAAGACCTTGATCATTATCTAATTATGCCTCTGGTTATTGGGAAAAATAAATTGAATGCCTTTGGTTTCCTTCATGATAAACTGGCCACGAGGGTTATGGATAGACTAAAAATCTCCTCTCGTTTAGCGGACGAAAGGTTTTTATTAAAGCGATGGCCCAAGCTATCCCTTAATATGTGATGTCTTATTATCTGCTGCCAGATTGTTTGATTCAGGAGATGGTTAGTACACTGCGTAGGTATTGGTGGCCTGGTCGTATTTGAAGCGAGGTTGACCTCTTGTGGCTTGAAAGACGATATGTATGCCAAAGAATATTGGAGACATGGGATTCCATGACATGGGAATTTTTAATTTGATGTTGCTTGGAAAGCAAGTGTGGAGGCTAATTAAAGAACCTCATAGTTTGTTTGCAAAGATTTTACGAGCCAAATACTTTCCGTATGAGGATTTATTGCATGCCAAATTAGGGAATAATTGTTTCTTTACGTGGAGGGGAATTCATCACAACTTAATGTCTATGCAAGATTGTCTTTATTTGACATTCATAGCCATGCACAAATGCATTATGATAATTGGGGTGGTTATACCATACGTGGAAAATAATGTGAACCATGTTTGCTACCATGAATTCATGATTCCTGGCGTGCCGAGTGATAACTCTTCAAAATAGTAAGTAGCCTTTTTCACCTAGGTTTAGTTTGAACTTAAGCATATGTAGGAGCATTTTAGGATAAATTACTTAATTTTACATATTTTGCATGGTAGGAGCATCGTGGGTTGCTAAGGGCTAAAATTGATTTTTGCTATTGAAAACTATTGCACTGATGCCACAACATTGCAGGAAATGTTGATCGAATACTGTAGCGATAGTCCAAGCTCTAGACGGTTAAGGGAAACTTTTGAATTGGGACATCTAGCTCGGGTAGCTGTCATGTGGCTGGATAACACCTGAAATGTGGACCTTGCCTATTGCGCGATGAAATTCTCATCCAAGCTATAAAAGGGGCGTACTTGGGTGCAAAAAGTGTGATGATTATGAGAGATCCAAAATAGCATTTTCCACATTAATTCTTTCCAAGCCACGGAAGGCTAAGTATTTTTCTAGGGATTGCTGCTTCCTATGGGTTTGACACTCGAAACTCTCATAGTTTCTACTTTATTACTTGATATGCGACACATGCACTTGAGTTGAATGCTGCATCAATTTTAGTAGTATCAAGTTTTTAGCGCTGTTGCTGGGAAGCATCGGTTTGATTTAAAGTTCTTTTAATTTGCTTATTTGTTTATTTTCTTTTGTAGGTATTTTTAGTTTCTATTTTTACTAGTGTATGCCCTGAGGCGATGACGACTTAGAGTCGTTTAATATATATATTGAAAGAATATTTTGGAGACGTCGCCGTGAAGCTAAAATGGTTTAACGATGGAATGATATTTTCTCTTACTGCAGAATGGAAAGAATGATGAGTTTCCAACTGGAATCGGAGGTGGGCAACCATATCAGAATGTAGATGATTGTAACCGCCCTATTTGTGAGTATGTGATGCCGACATTAGATGATTTGCATCTGGACATTGTGAGGTCAATTATTAATGTTACGAATTTCGAATTAAAGTATGTTATATTTCGTATGCTACAATCTATGGGATAATATGGAGGTTTTGTTGCTGAAGACCCTATAGCCCATTTGAGAGCTTTTATGGAGGTTTGTAAATATCTTATTTAGTAAGGTGTTCCGGAGGAGGCATTGAAGCTGAAGTTATTTTCTTATTCATTGCGTGATAAAAGCGCGAGTTTGGTTGACTTTACTGCCACCAGGTGCTATGGCATCCTAGAATGAATTAGAGTAGAAGTTCTTTTTGCGATTTAACACGTCGAATATGAATGCTAAGCTTCAAAACGACTTAACTTCATTCAAGCAGATGTACGATGAAAGCTTGCATGAAGCATGAGAAAGGTTTAAAGATTTTATGTGGAAGTGTCCTATGCATGGATTCCCACATTCGACTCAAATAGAGATGTTTTATAATGGATTAAATATTCACACTCGAATGGTGGTTGATGCCTCAACAAACAGAGCTTTGCTGGAAAAGACGTACAATAAAGCATATGATATCATCGAGAGAATCTCCACCAATAATTGTCAATATCCTAATACACACAATACGTTTGGTCGACATTGTGTTGCAACAGCAGACTTTGAAACTTTCAACTCTATGGCATCTCAGATTTCAACATTGACTGAAATGGTGAAGAAATTTCACAAGCCAGAAGGAATGTATGAAGTCACAGTTACATCTTTTATCACTTGCATATATTGTGGCGATGACTATAATTTCGATGAATGCCCCCAAAATCCAGAGTCTATTTATTATGTGCGAAATTATACAAGGAATAATAATGTTTTTGGCAATACATACAATCCAAATTCTGGAAATCATCCTAATATTTCTTAAAGAAGTCGGAATGTTGCCAATTCACAGCATCAACAATATCAACCACAACATTACACACAACAGAATCAAATACCGTAACCACATGACAACAATATGTTACTCAACTGCAACAAATACATAATTACTAAGGCTAATCTTCGAACCAAAATCTAACCTTAACACCTTTTGAAGCCATGATGAAATAATACATGGTGAGCCAATCTGCTTCATTAAGGGCTATCGAGAATCAGATGGGACAAATAACTAATGCTCTAAATAGTCAATTTCTAGGATTACTTCCTAGCGACAATGAGAATCCTAAGAAAAATGGAAGGAGCATTGCAAGGCAATTACCACAAGAAGTGGAGTTCATATTGGGGAACCAGTTGAAGAACTGAGGAGAAAGAATGAGGAAACTCATCATTATGGTAAAGGGAAGAGAAAAGAGGTTAAGCCTGAACTGCGTATGAGTCAATTCACAGCAATAGAAGCAGGGCAGAGTAGTAATTCAAAATTATTGCCGACTGTAACCCTTGCTGCATCTAATGCAGAATCGATTCCATTGCCTCAGTAACAACAATAAAAAATGCTTCTATCATTTCCACAATGCTTCAAGAAGATAAATGAAGATAAGATTTACAAAGCTTTTATTGACATTCTTCGCCAACTCACAATAAACATTCCATTGATTGATGCCTTAAAGAAAAACCCAAATTATATCAAATTCATGAACGAAGTCCTTCCAAAGAAATGATGACTTCGTGAGTTTGAGACAATCGCTCTTACTAAAGGCTATAGCACTATGGCTACAAGTCAATTGCCACCAAAACTTAAGGATCCAGGGAGTTTCATTATTCCTTGTAACATTGATGACACATTTGTAGGTAAAGATTTATGTTATTTGGTTGCTACCATAAATCTAATGCCATTGTCAATCTTTAGGAAATTTGGGAGCGACGAAGCAAACCCTACTACGATTACTTTGCAACTTACTGATCGCTCTACCGTTCATCCTAGTGGTATTGTGGAGAATATGCATGTGAGAGTGGACAAGTTTATTTTTCCTACGGGCTTCATTATTTTGGATTGTGAAGTGGACAAAAGATGTTCCAATTATTCTCGACCGCCCATTCCTTATTACATGCCGAGCTTTGATTTAGGTTGAAAATGGAGAATTAACTATACGCTTGAATGATGGGCATATTACTTTTAATGTTTTGAATAATGTTTCTTATATAAATGACCATGTTGATTGTTTTTCACTTGATGTGATTGATATTTTTACACATGAGCATTTTGAAGAATGCTACAACGTTGATATAACTCTAACTGATTTAGTAGCATTCAAAGAATTCTTGACTGATGAAGAAGCCGAATGCTGTAGCAAGTATCTCCAGAGCATTGGACCTTCACAAATGAATGATCATATTCTTCAAGCACCGAAGCCATCTATTGAAGAACCATCGAGGCACCAGTCATTGTAGTCGTACAACTTACAACATCACAAGAAGCCCCACTAATTGATGTGCTGAAGCAGTATAAGAAGGTTATTGCATGGAGCATTGCTGATATAAAAGACATTAGTCCATTATTTTTCATGCACAAAATTATTTTGGAGGATCCCAATAGTAGCTCAATTAAATATCAGCAAAGATTAAATCCAATTATGAAAGAAGTTGTTCGAAATGAGATTATCAAATGGTTGGATACTGGGATTATATACCCGATTTTGGACAGCAAATGAGTTAGTCCTATGCAATGTGTTCCAAAGAAGGGCGACATTACTGTGCTAACAAATGACAAAAATGAATTAGTGCCAACAAGAACTACTATTGGTTAGAGAATATGCATGGACTATAGGAAGCTCAACAAAGCAACAAGAAAATACCACTTTTCATTGACGTTTACAGACTAAATGCTAAAATAACTTGGTGGTAATGTGTTTTATTGTTTTTGGATGGATATATTAGTTACAATCAAATTTATATACCTCTAGAGGACCAAAATAAAACAACGTTCACATGTTCGTATAATACCTTTGCTTTTCGTAGAATACCGTTCGAGTTATGTAATGCTCCAGCGACATTCTAACATTGTATGATGGCCATTTTCTCCTATATGATTGAAGAATATCTTGAGGTTTTTATGGATGATTTTTCAGTCTTTGGGCATGAATTTGAGAAGTGTTTGAGTAATTTGCTTGCTGTTTTGAAAATATGCGAAGAGACCAACTTAGTTTTGAATTGGGAAAAATGTCATTTTATGGCCACAGAGGGTATAATGTTAGGGCACTTAATTTCAAGACGTGGCATTGAAGTGGATAAATCAAAAGTAGAGGTTATTGAAAAATTACCACCACATACTAATGTGAAGGTAGTTCGAAGCTTTCTTCGTCATGTTGGTTTCTATAGAAGGTTTATTAAAGATTTCTCTCGGATTGCTAAGCCGTTGTGCTAATTGCTGGAGCAAAATAGGAAGTTTGATATTGATGCCGAAGTGCTTCAATCTTTTGAGATATTTAAATTGAAGCTAGTGAATACCCTTATTATTACAACTACAAATTGGAGCTTGCCCTTTGAATTAATGTGTGATGCTAGCGATTTCACTGTAGGAGCAGTGCTAGGGGAATAAAAGGATAAAATGTTTCACACCATATATTATGCAAGTAGGACATTAAATGAAGCCCATGTCAATTACACCAGAACTGAAAAGGAGTTGCTTGTTGTGGTGTTTGCTTTTGATAACTTTTGTTCATACCTTATGGGCACGAAAGTGATTATCTATACTGACCACTCAGTGCAGAAGCATTTATTTGCTAAGAATGATACAAAATCTCGTTTGATTCGATGGGTGCTTTTACTCTAGGAAATCGATATTGAGATTTGGGATAAGAAGGGATCTGAAAATCAGGTGGCTGATCACTTGTCTAGATTAGAATCAGGTAGCAAAGATGGTATCATTGCAGTAATTCCAAACAAATGGGTTGATGTTACTGTTATGGTTGTTATTTAATTCAAGACTAAAACTATTCCCTGGGAAATTTTGTTCTCGCTGGTCAGGCCCTTTTGAAGTTTTCCCTCATGGTGTAGTATTATTGAAGAATTTAGTGGATGGAAGCACATTTAAAGTCAGTAGGCAGTGTTTAAAGCATTATTTCCATCAACAAAGCCTCATCATCGCTTCAATCACACTAAGTGACTCCCTTCTTTTTTATACTTTTGTTCTTGTGAATAAGTCAATTTTCATGACATTTATTTTAAATTTCTATTTTTTCATTATTTTTCTCTTTTTGTATATGTTTTTCTCTTTTGATCATTCATAGTCAGCTATCTCATGTTGCACATCTCTTAAAATTCTTATCTCTGTCATCACTGTATTGATGCCATAGCGCTACAATGACAACCAACTAAGTTCTGACAGTAAAATTTGGTGTGAGTTGTTTACCATTTACCCCTCTTCCATTTTTCCCTGTCCATTTTTCCCAATCATAACCGCTCGTTTAAATCTATCCTTATCACTCCACCCATGACCATTCAACTCCCATTACTTTACCTTATTCTTCTCCTTGATTCTAAAACCCTTGTTACCCTTTCCTTCATTTTGCTCATATATCTACAAACTGCCATGGCCCCTAAAAAGAACGCGAGTTCAAAGCCATCAAGTCGTACACCCACTCCGCCTCCTGTTGTATCTACGCTGTTGACACTATCCCCGTCGGAAGAAGTCACACGATTCATAGATGATGACAAAAAATGACGTTATGAGGAGGAATTAGAGGGCTGAAATTTCTTCTATAAATAGGGCTTTGATTTCACTATAGAAGAGGAGCCTTAAATTTTCGATTATATTTCTCAATTGACTATCTAGTGAGGTTGGGGGGAAATTTTGTGAGCACCCGGCGATATAAATCAACAAGTATTTTGAGAATTCTATAGTAATCTCACTGACCAAACTAAACACTTAGTCTTTGCTCGAGAAAAAATGGTCCATTGGTGGCAAAAACCAATAAACAATTTGTTGGGTTCACCGAGGAGCCCTGTGAACAAATAACATTTGTGGAAAAATTAACTGAGGAAGAATTAGAGAATGTAGTGCATGATGTTTGCCTACCCAACCATTCCTGGAAGAGATAAACTATTGGCGTTCGAACCAAAAAGTGATTAGATCTTCATCGTGATGCACGGGTATGGTTTATTTTTCTTAGAACTCGGTTAATGTCAACCATGCATTTTTCCACTATTACTAAGGATCGAATCTTACTGCTTCATTCCATTTTATTTGGAAGGAAAATTATTGTTGGTAAAATAGTTTCAATTGAAATTTTTTCATATGGTCATAAGACTTTAGGATATTTGTATTTTCCTTCATTAATCACTGCACTGTGCTATCAAACACGAGTGGTTACTTTGTCTCTCGATAATAATATAGAGAATCAGAGCCTGATCACCCCTATTGCTGTAAGGCGAACACTATTGAAGAAAGGGTTGGATCCTAATGAAGTTCATAGTGAGCCATTTGTTCTCATTGCCACATCACAACTCCCGCCTCTCAATGCCAAAAC